TTCCAAAGAATATAAATTAATATTACGGCCCAGTATTTTAAATTTTGTATTAATTAGGTTCATATTATGGCGCACATAAACACACAAAACGTCATTAGCCAGGAAACAATCGTATGTAATAAGTTTCCTAATTGATAAGAATGTAAGAAAGCAAACTCAAAAGGTAAAACTAACTAAATATGAAGCTCAGAAGAATGTAGGTACACAATTAGTTACTAGAACAAGACGCTACGCCTAAGCCGAAGCACTGCTTACGCTCACAATATAAACACAACTAAGCCTATTGACTGCCCCGGTAGTGCAGTGGTAGCGTATGCGACCGTTGTGCTGAAGTCTCGGTTTCGATTCTCCAAATATTTGTATGTATAATGTAAATGTATTTACGAAAAAAAGTATATAAGTATTCTTTCAGTCAATTTAGCTTTCACAGTACAAGCTCTTCTTGGACTCCTCCTGTAAAACATGGGTAAAAGGGCCCTTCAAGCTGATTTTTTCCCTGAGCTGAGTGTGATTTACTACGCCGATGGCACTTTGGTCATAGCCTGGGAGCCGAACTACCAAGTGGCGTCGCGTGTGGCCACTAGGTGAGTCTCTGAGTCTCTCTGGAAGCGCTGGACTTACAAGTGGCCCTGGATAAGACGGATGTCCTCTTATCTTTTGGGCCCCGTTGTGTTTAAATCAAATAAAAACGGATCCAATTCACTACTCTCGACAATTTGCTATAATGGTCAGTTAGCCGAGACAGGTGATGGAATATGTAACCATTGCGCTGCACACGTTTAACTCCAACTTTCTTCCGTCGTCGACGTCTTCCTTGCCAACTCCCGCATCCTATCATGACGTACCCAATTGTATAGGTAACATAGAGATTGACGCTAGTGACGTTCTGAAACTACTACAATCTCTCGTTCTATAGAAAGGCGGGAGTCCCAATAAAATTGTACCATTGTATATTGTTAAATGTGCTGCATGCTTAGTAAAGCCTGTTACTATTCCATATAAAACCTTTTAAATAAAATTGCAGAGGGACTAGTACCTAAAATTTGGAAATCAGCAATTATCACCCCTAAACACAAGAATGGAAACAAAAATGATGCTAAAAATTACAAGCCTATCTATAAATTATGTGTTTTTGCAAAGGTGTATTAAAATATTGTGTATTCACAACTATATGAAACGGTTAACGGTTCCTTAGAAAACGATCAACGTTATCAAATTAACAACTTTTTACGGACTTTACGACATCAAATATGGATTCCGGTGGACGGTGAAACTTCAAGAAGACTTGGATAGATTTCCACACTATTGCTTAGCTAATAAATTAGATTAGAATGTTAATTAATGTCATTTTATTACCGTCACTCGCAAAGCCAACAAAAATATTTTAAGTAATCCGCTTACGGGAAACTTCGTTATTTTTGGTAGTAGTTTTTTAAACTCACAGTAAATCCTCTTTTTTAAAAATGATAAAAAATGTTGTTATTAATTTTTCAAAACTCCCTATAAGTGATTAAATGGTAAATAAAGTCCGAAATTTCCATAGATTTGTAATGTGATGCCATACACCCGTACGAAGCAAAAGTTTACTAAGTAAACTTCAAATGAATAAAAAGATACAAATATAAATTAATTTGCTTCCGTAAGGTAAGTAATATGTTTATTCGTTGTTCGTGGACGATTGACGGATTAATAATATGGAGTGACACCACTCATATTTATCCCGTAGGTGTCGTATCTGCAATCAGTAGACAACTATAAGCAGATAAGTGGTAGGTTTTGGCAGGTCGAGTGTGAGGGCAACTACTGGTACTTTTGCGTGGCAGCTTGAATTTCTTCTCCCACAGTGTTCACATTTAGGTGTGTGTGAATTTCAGAGTTTCTGATGATATTACGAGAGGGTAATTTTGTATCTTATTTTTAATATCTAATAGTGGTGTACTCTTCCAGCAAGCCTCCTGTATGAGGTTTGTAATATATTCGGCCGCTATTTGAATATCATCTGGCGTCTTAAGAGCGACTTTCAGCATGAGATTCTCATTAATATATTCTCTGAATGAGTACCAGTCTGTGCTTTTGTTGTACAACCTTCGTGGACACTCATGTTCTATAATCTCCGTACTTAGAGTAAGCAGTACTGGTGTGTGATCTGAGGAGCTGTCATAACAAGACTCACATTTAGTATAGTGAGAACAAAAGCCTTTAATGATAAAGAAGTCAATCAGATCCAGCAGTCTAGAGACATCCGTCGGCCAGTGCGTTGGTTCACATGTGAAAATTGTAGTTAAGCTGTTCGCCTCTACACTAAGTTTAAGCTGTCTGCCCCTGGTACTGGTTAGTCTGGATCCCCAGAAAGTGTTTTTGGTCCAGTCTCCTCCAGCTAGGAATCTATTACCAAGTGTTTTGAAGAATTCTTTAAACATCTCTGCAGATATCTTATGTCTGGGTGGGCAGTACACTGAGGAAATATTGAAATAGCCATTTCTGTCTTCAACCGCTATTGTAGTATACTCTATGGTTCTATACTCAGGCATTAAATGATGTTTTAGCGATCTCCTGACCACAATCACAGTACCAGCATGTCCGGACCCATCCGGGTGTAGGGTGAAATATCACTCATAGTTTTTAAATTTAATATTTGTGACAGCAACACAGTGAGCTTCGGATATCAATAGCAAGTCCAAGTTTTGCTGTACCATGAGGGTTTCTGCTTCATCTTTATTTGGCGTCAATCCATTGATGTTCCATATTGCCATTCGAATTGCAGTCATTTTGTCAATTTTTCAACGAGTCGCGTAACGAGTATCATTAAGGTATTAATTTGTTGTAAGATTATGTCAAATTTTTCAGACGGTTTGATTAAAATCTCTTCCAAGATCAAAGGTTTTGGTATTTCTTGAGTTGGTCCCATTTTGTTTCCAGTAACATCAGAGTATGTTTTCTTTGCTTCCCCAGGATTTTGAGCTTCTTTAACAGGTATGTTTGGCACTAGTCTATTCACCGTATTATCGGCCGCAGGTGTTTGCGTTTGATAACTTCTTGCAGTAGTGGTCGTAGGTGTCGTAAGAGCCTACTAAGGGAGCAAACTACGCAGGACAACAGCACTGTAAGGCGAAGAAAAACCTAAAACAAACCCTACACTAACCCGTCTGGCCAGCGTGGTATAGTTGGCCAAAACCTCCTTTCTAAGGAGAGGCCTATGTCCAGCAGTGGACAACTAAATGCTCTTGATAATGATGATATTACTTATTATGGCTATAACTATTTGAAATAAAATAACCAAAATAAATGTTATCCCGTATATTTTATCCTCTTAAAATTACAAGTCTTGTGTATATTGAAAGTACATACTTCATTACCTACCAAGCTAACAGTTCTATTAGCTTCAGTAAGAAGCAAGTTCTAAAGAAATATTTTATACATGATTATGTATAGATGTATCTATATATTCAAAGATTACATATATATTCTTATTTTTAGGAAAAAGAGTTTGGAATAAAATATATCTATTTTATAACAAATGGGTTAGCAATATATAAACAGTAATATTTACGTCTTATGACATTGTTTTAATTGATTACATTTTTCAGTAGAAAATCAGTCAAATCACTATAAACATTTGTATGAGTTGTCCCCAAATGGTCACCACAACATGTGTGCTTAAAATAAAAAATAAAATTATAAATGAGTTTTTGTTTTCAAACTGCTTTTTCTAGCCACGTATGTATAAGTATTTTACTTATATTTTTTATCATATTCCTGATACATATCATTTAGTTTTAATTTATTACAAAAGGGTTTATTAGGTATGGTGTCGTGGACGCAGTCACAAGACGATAGTATGGTCCAGGACCACAGCACTACATGACTAATATCGCCCTATTGAGATTGAAAATGTAGTCAGTCTTTTCTATGCCCAAGAGTCTAAAAGAACATTATTGATACTTTTAAACACGTGGGTACAAAATACAGGTCCAAAACGCAAAACTCGCCCGGTAATTTCTTCCTCACAAACAAATTTTAGCATTTCTTTTTTAGGATTAGAGAAATGGTTTGTACTCATAAAAATACTAATCTAGTATTCTTTATTACGTGTGTAATCCATTATCTTAAGTATAATTTGGTAAAACTCAATTAATTGTTGCAATCCATAGATTTTTTCTTTCTAAACACTAATATTCTAATGGCTAACTGTTAGGCCTTACCTGATACAGGTATGGCTATAAAGAAAATGATACAGTAAAAATCTGAGCACCAACCCAGAAAATCAGAATAGATATTTATACATTATATACTTTAGGATGAACTAAATTATTTTCTCTTGAATACCTAAACCAAAAACTTAAAATATTTGTACAAATATACAGTCACTATTCTAGTAAAACATTAAAATTCTATAATTAGGTTCCTCATGAATTTGTGAGACGAGTTTAGGATTTTGTAGACTAAATAGATATTCATCTGGCGAAGGCCTACTTTAAAACAGTGACCTTATAAAAACCATCGTTGTTAACTGTCTTTTTTGAACAAAAAACATACATGAAAAATATTAAAACATGAGTATACATATACAGGATTTGATGAAATTCATTTCAGTCATATGCATTCATATAATTTTTGTAAATGCTCAATGCGAAAGATTAAGCTTACTAACTAACGTCAACACGATATCGTGAAGACGCATGCCGTGGCGATGCGTCTTCACGATCGTCTTCTATGTGATAGTATATGTAACATACAGTGTGGTGCATTGCTATACTGAATATTATATTTTTATTTATATTCTACAAAATAATTTCAATGTTTCGCATCTGCCAGACGTCCTCGCACAATTTTTGTCTATTTTTTTAACTCATTTATTAACATGTCGAGCCAAACACAATCGTCCAAATTATCATCAGAGAATCATTAACAAAATCCTAAACACAAAATTCTATCACGCAAATATTGCACATACACAATATCTGATATTTAACTAACACAATCACAGTTAGTTCTATTTCCTAGCACTCTTTCGTTTTACCATTTGTAACCACATCCGTTGTCGTATTACCGTTGGCAATAGGATTTTTCGTAATTCCATTGGTGACAGTATATCTCACTTTGGTACCTTCGTGATTCGGAGTAGCTCTCCTATTTTTGACGTAGCTGTTGTAATAGAACATACCGAACATATAAAGGAAGAGACCAGCGTTGAGAGAGAGCAAGAAATTAATGCCTTTAGGGTAGTTACAGTCGCTGAACATAACGGTGAAGTTATGATAGAAGATAATGCAGAACTGAATCTGGAATAAAAAGGTAAGAAAGAAGATTTAATGGAGTTTTAACTAGACCTTAACACACAAGTACAGTACAGTTTTGCCAATTTATATGTAAAATGTAAAAAAATATAGATCTTTCTATGCACTGCACAGAATGAAAACTTACCAGTTGCATGGTGGTGAGGTGCTTCTTCCACCACAGGTACTTTTGATACTGAGGTCCAAGTCCGGAGATTAGGTAGTACGAGTACATGATGATGTGTATGAAGGAGTTGATAACTCCAAGGAGAGTTCCGTGACCTCCTAGAATTGTGCATAAAACATATTTTATTGGCTTTAAAACAAATTCTGCTTTTATGGCTTGGTGTTTTATTACTTGAATCTTTTCTAGTTTTTACTATTTAGGTTTTATTAGAAAATACTTTTTAATGTTTCGACTCTTGAGTAGAGTTAGCGCATGCATTAGAATTTCCAATGTTTGCTTCAAAGTGATTTTCTGCTGATGTAAAAGACTTTTTAAATTGCTTATGCATGCTAAAAATTAATAATTAAATGCTGATTTGCTGACATACCTGGTAAGAACTTAACACCGATCCAAGCACAGATGGGCATCATGAAATGGTGGTACAGATGCAAGAAACTGATTTGCCTATTCTTCTTTCTTAACACAAAGAAGATAGTATCTAGCAGCTCAATAATCTTCGCTGCAAAGTACCACCATACAGCTGCTGCCATCTATAATAGTTAATTTATTAGATTAAGTCTCAACTGAATTTAGTTGACAACATAACACGCTAATACTACAGTCTTACATGAATACAACTTATTCCAGAATAAACCTCACTTAGCCCTTAACAACTGGATGTCTGTTAATTCAATGCAATGCTTTTTTCATAACATATGATAATTATAGTATACTTCAATCAAATTCTATGGTGTTTTAAATATTTTCGTGATATTGCTTTTGAATTTTTCTACTTTTAAAAACAATTATTCTTAATGTTATGGGGCATCCAAAATTTAGATTTTATCCGTCATTTGTCGCGTAACAATAAATTTATTTACTATTATCCCTTAATATATTATGCATCTATTCATAGTATACTTAATTGTGTAAATTAGGCTAGTAAAATTGTAGTCTATTTCCAAAATTGACAATTTTTACCTACTTCTTTCTCGACAGTGAATAAGTTGTTTTTAGTTTTATAATATTATTTACAGTATTAGGTTAATGTTTTCTTACTCTTTTCGCTTGAGGGCTGTCGGAGTAATCTACTGGTTGACATGAGAAATTGTAGTCGTTCCACCATCCGGCGACTAGACCCTGAAAATAATTGACATTAAAATTAACATATATCATTAAACTTATAACCTAACCAACAATAAAACTAAAGAGTACCGTAAATACTAAAACGATCTTTTCAAATAGGTATTTCCGAATACAGACTGAGAAAATTTGAAAAAAGTCTTGAATAACGGGAATGAAATGACATTATACACAACCAATATCCGTGTGGTGACGGATTAAGAATACGGAATGTCACCACCCCTATTCATTCCGTGGATGTCGTACGAGCCGACTAAGAGAACGTCTGGCCAGCGTGGTGTAGTACTCCAAAACCTCCTTTTTAAGGAGAGGCCTATGTCCAGCAGTGGACTATTACAGGCTGTTGATGGTGATTAACAACCAATTTACTAGATATCGGCATTGTTTTTAATGGCTTTGAGACAAGATGTGACGGTTCTCATCCTGTTTTTTTTTCTCCACTCGGGAGTAGGTAGTGTAAGTAGTAATACTTGAAAACAGATGACTCAGGCTATGGCGGTGTAAAGGACAGTTAAGATTATATATGCCCAGCAGCTTACCTCATAAACTAAGTAGATGCTCATCAATATCTGTGATATGTTGTAGACAATCATGACGTTCTTCAGATCGTACGGTTTCCTGTCTCTCATGTACCGTGGTCCCACGGAATTACAGAAGTACAGGTAGGTAGCCAGAATTGTGAGTAGCGGTCCTGGTCCCGACATGAGCCACCAGTTCTCAGTTCGGGGATCTGAAAAATATATAGCAAAAACTTAAATCATCGTTGCTAGAATTTATGGCTGTTTTTTTTTTCGATGACGTTTTATTCTGTTTGAAACTTAATAGGCGATTTAACTTATTTATCATCATCAACAGCTTTCATTAGTCTACAGCTGACCTCCAGTCAGGAAGGAAGTTTTGGCCTACTATGTCACGCTGGTATCAACAACACCAACACAACTCCGTGTGGTGACGGATTAAGAACACAGAGTGTCACCGCCCCTATTCATCCCATGGGTGTCGTAAGAGCCGATTAAGGGAGCAAACTATGCAGAACAACAGCACTGCAAAGACAAGGAAAACTTGACACAAACCCTATACCATCCTGTCTGTCCAGCGAGGTATAGTAGGCCAAAACCTCATTTTAAGGAGATGCCTATGTTCGGCAGTGGACTATTAGAGGCTGTTGATGATAATGTCACGCTATCCAGACTGGTTGCTAATTTTAACTTATTAATTCAAAAAAAAATCCTTTTATTCATATAGTATATAAATCCAAATACAGTTATATAAGTCTGTAAAATAAAACAAGACTTTTCAAAAGGTCGATTTCTAACGCCTGTAAAAAATCTTATCATATGTTCTAGCATCTGATGATTGCTCGCTCAGTTGAGCAGGCGTTTGCAGTTATGTAGCGCTTTAAAGTTAAACGCTAGCAATGTATTGCCGTTAAAGATTTTCTTCTAAACAAGTTTAATTCAAAATAAAAGAGGTTGAAAATTTGGATTTTCGAGTATGTTGAGAAAAAATGGTATTCTAGTTTTAATTCACGAGAGCAATGTTTCTAAGATCTGAAGATCTAATTAATTAAAGTTTAAAAAGACCAACGTAAAAAAATAAACGAAAGCGTGGCTTTGAGTGAGGATAAAACAGGATAAAACGTTTTTTATACTGCATACCTATGCAGAGATCGAAACTACGCAAATATAGTGTAAGATACGTGTTGTGATCTGTTAGGATTTTAGACGATAACTCACAAAGAAGATAATATTTTTCTATTTATTTAATATTTTACAGAAATTATACCTATAAAATATAGCGTAATACTTATATCAGTAAAGAAATACCTAATCAACATAAAGTACAAACTTAACGTGTGAAAATCATTTAAAACATATCTGTGAGCATACAATGAGCCAATTGCTATTGTTTGATTCCGAATCACTTCGCAATGTGATTGTGATAATTACATTAGTCTAGAAAGCAAATAGTTTAAAGTACACATACATGACATGTAAACTTTAATACGTTACATGTATTTATTAAGATTAAATTAAAAATTTATAAGAATTAAATAAAATAAAAAGAAATCTCTGTCGCGGGGACTTTACAAACATACACAAATGGACACAAAAAACACTCAGACTCGGAACAACAATTCGTGGACCATGCAAAGTGTTGTCCAATGTGGGAACCAAACCCACAACTCTCAGCGCAGTAGGTAGCGGCGAGGTGATCGCTTAAACTACAACGCCATAGGTGCAGTCAGAGACTTTCGTAGATAGTAGAGAATAAAACTCAACTTTAAATAACTACAAAAATTGCGTATAGATCTCACACGGAATCCGAATAGCTCATTTTAATAAGTATATTAGTTTGCACGATACCGCAAATGCACTTAGCACTTACGTAGTTTATTTGATCATAATGTCGTTGTGGAGTCGACTGTAACATAGGCAGTATTTTAGTAATAATCAGTAAGACACAGATCCCCCGGAAAACATTTTCATATAAAATGTTGCCAAGACGAGGCCATATGGCTCGCACTCTCAAAAAGTTATCAGATCTACGAGTAGTTACAAGCCCTGACTTCACAAACTCTACACCTTTTTTTTTATGCGGATATCCCCTCGGATACCACCCAATGGTGGCTATGTCAGACTCAAACCAACTAAAAACCGCACACCGTCTCGGGTGCCAGTAGCCGCGGAACCAGGTGTACCCTAGAAAGAAAATCCCTGGTACCCCGGCCTACCTCGGGCCATTTACGGCGGGTAGATGACCCCTCCTGTGTGGGAACCCCCATGTTCCCTTTGTGCTCCCAAAAGGGGCGCGCGCTCTCGGCAGCGCGCCTCGCCGCCATTCCGGCCTGCTTCTGCTAGGGTGACAGATGGCCTCATCTGCCACGGGGCCGGGAGAGTTCTAAACCTCTTCTTCGCAAACATAACTTGCTCGCAGAAGTAGACGGCGGAGTTCCACGCACTCTCGCTCCGCACCGGCCGCCATGAGGTCACGCCTCTGCTCCACCTATGCCGGGCATTCTGCCAGCGTGTGGAGTGCCGTGTCCGCGGTCCGGCCTTGCTCACCCACCCAGGCGTGTGCTCCTTGCGGATCTGACACAGGTGATCTCCGAAGCATCCTTCGCCAGTGATCACCTGTGTCAACCGGTATGAGCCGATCCTCCATAAGCTCTCATACATAATTATATATATATTTATATATATATATATATATATATATATATATATATATATATATATATATATATATATATATATAATTCGCTCTTCCTCATTGCTTCTCCACGACAACGAGCGAGCCCACACTTCACGACAGACCATCACAGCTACAAGAGTTATAGCTGGAAACTCTCTGTCACAGTACTATGTGTGTACACTGTGGCAGTACCAAAGGCTTTCGCTTACTTCATCGCCACCCGTACAGCATACTTAGAAGTCTTTAATTTCTTTGAAAACAAGATGTCTTTAAAATGAAATTATATTTATTTCTGCAAGTAAATCTTTACAGATATCTTTAGAAGTCGGAGATATTTTTACAATTTGGAAGATTTGAAAAGAAGACTTAGATTTTAGCTTTTATCCTTTTACGTAAAATGATAAAAATATTGTATAGACAATTTGGACCAGTACTTTGAACAGTGAATAATATTTTCACCTTACGCCCATGCGATGCGCCATGCGCCCATGGGGTGTGAGGGGCGAACCACCATCTTTCGCCCCAAGCCAACCTCACCTGCCCGCGGTGCATCCTGCTGAACGACGAACGAGGCTCTGGCGACCGACCGATGGCGGTATATCCATCCCAATAGGCGTAGCTAAATATAACAGGCCGGTGACGGGCAGCAGCGTTACCGGTGCGACAAGCTACGCCCTGCGATCGCCAACCCGCCTGCCCAGCGTGGCGATTATGGGCAAACCCCTCTCATGCAGACGCAACAAAGGCCACGGCCCCCAGTTCCCGGCGGCCCCGCTATTCCTGGTCATGGTGGCGACCACGGTAAAGGCGGGGCAGGGGGTGCGAAGAATCTCCGGGCTACGGGAGGCCACCACAACCGACTGACCCTGGCTACGTACAACGGACGCACGCTACGGCTAGACTCGCATCTGGCGCAACTTGAGGTGGAACTTGGGAAGATTAGGTGGCATATCCTAGGGCTATGTGAAGTCCGAAGAGAGGGGGAGGACACCATAACCCTCGAGTCAGGCCACCTAATGTACTTCCGCGAGGGAGACCAACAATCCCAAGGTGGGGTTGGGTTTCTGGTGAATAAGTCCCTATCTGACAACGTTGTGGAAATTTCCAGTGTGTCGAACAGGGTAGCGTACCTCATTATCAAGCTCACCGAGAGGTATAGCCTCAAGGTTGTGCAAGTGTACGCACCGACCTCGGCACATTCGGACGACGAGGTGGAGGATATGTACGATGACATATCGAGGGCCCTCCACTTCACAACTAAGACCCACTACAACGTTGTTATGGGTGACTTCAACGCTAAAGTGGGAGTACAGAATTGCAGCGAATCGGTAGTAGGATCCCATGGATTTGGAAGCAGGAATCATAGGGGGCAAATGCTGGTCAACTTCCTCGAACGGGAGGGGCTGTTTTTGATGAATTCTTTCTTCAAGAAACAGCCCCAAAGGAAGTGGACGTGGCAAAGCCCCGACGCTATGACTAGAAATGAGATCGATTTCATCATGACGGATAGAAAGCACATATTCAGAGACGTCTCAGTGATCAATAGGTTTAATACCGGTAGTGATCACCGACTTGTCCGGGGCTCTCTGAATATCAACTTTAAGGCGGAACGTGTCTGTTTGATGAAATCCAGGCTCCGACCAACTCGGCTCCAGGCCATGACAGGATCTGAAACGTTCCAGTCAAAACTGGCAAACCGATTCGCTGCCGTGGAAACCACAATCGACGTAAACCAGAACCTCAAAAATGTGGTTCAGATCCTCAGGGAAGAAGGTATGAGATTTTGTGAAATGCAGCGTAAGGGCAGGAAGTCGAAGCTTTCAGAAAGGACCCTAGGGCTGATGAAGAAACGACGTGAAAACCCACCTGTCACTTTGTCGGCAAAGCGGACTCTAAACCGAGAGATCAGTAAACTCGTACGACACGACCTCCGGTGCTCCAATACTCTTTCAATTGAAAGAGCGATCGAGCAAAATCGGGGGTCAAAAGTGTTCGTACAATCTCTTGGAAGAAGCCACCTGACAAAGTTGACTACAGAAAGTGGAGAAGTCGTTGCTTCGAAGCCGGCAGTCCTTTTGGAAGTGGAAAGCTTCTATGGCCGGTTATACGCTTCGCATGCATCTCGACCTGATCCCGAAAATGAGGACTCTAGAGCCACATTAACACGTCACTACACCGAAGACCTGCCAGAAGTTAGCATTGAAGAAATCGAGATGGCTCTTGGACAGCTGAAAAATGGAAAAGCCCCTGGAGAGGATGGCGTTACAACAGAGCTGCTGAAGGCCGGGGGTAAACCCGTACTAAGGGAGCTCCAAAAGCTCTTCAACGCTGTCCTGTTTGAAGGGAGAACTCCAGAAGCGTGGAGTAGGAGTGTGGTCGTCTTGTTCTTCAAAAAGGGTGACAAGACCAGGTTGAAGAACTATCGACCCATATCCCTTCTAAGCCACGTCTACAAGCTGTTTTCGAGAGTCATCACGAACCGTCTTGCGCAAAGACTCGACGAATTCCAACCACCGGAGCAAGCTGGGTTTCGGA